GGAGCTCTCTAATGGGCTGTAACTGGGTGATAAAAGTGGTGCTCCAAGTGCCAAAGAAGTGTGGGGTTGGGATTAAGAAATGAGCAGTGAGGGTCCAATTGGCTGTTTTCTCTTGACTGTAATGGTGAGAGCTCCAGGAGTGCCAGATGTGTGTTCCAGTCCCCAGCATTTGGTTGGCACATGTCCTGGTCAGACACAGGTCCAAAACACAACAGAGAGAGAATGAAGGACTGGCACTGTTAAGGTGATTGGTGTGACAGGGGTTAAACTGGGAAAACATTGGCTAATTCCTGAGTTTGTCTCTTTGCCAAACTGCCCCAAAACTCTGCTAGGAAGAGATTGAGTGGAAAAGTTGAGGCAGAAATGAAATTGAGAAATGGGAATATTGAAACTGCAATTCCTGAAACTGAATGTGTCCAAGCAGCAGCTCTTCTTTTGCAGGGAAGAACTCCTGTCAGCAGCAAGATCCTGACTGAAGAGGCAGCTGCAATTGTACTGGTAAGGCAAACCCAGTGTCCATTAAAATTAGGAAGCCAAGCTGGATTGGTTCCAGTAATAGCTAAATTTGCTAAACAGGGTTTGATAGTAGAACATGAATGCAAGGACTTGTAGAGAAAGCAAATGACAAAGATGGTTGATTCCTGGAGCAGGGTCTGACAGACAGTGGCACTGGATGTTTGGTTGTGGTGGGGAATGAGCAGCTTGACCTCCCCAGGGTTGTCTGTGCTGGGGGTGGCTTTGGGTCCTGTGTGGCCACAGGTCTGTGCAGCAGCTGGAGCCTGGGCAGGTTTGGGGGCTGTGGTGTCCCAGGCTCCTCAGTTTGTTGTCCCTGTTTCCTTGGAGTGTCCCAGTGTCCCTGCTTGGCTGTTTGTTGCCCTGCAGGCAGAAGAGCCCAGGGCTGAGATGGCTGAGTGTTGGTGTGACCCACAGTGGGTGTCCCTGCCCTCGGGACAGTCCCCAGAGCTGCCTTTGGCATCCCCTGCTGAAGGGTGGGAGCTGCCCAGAGCCAGCAGCATCCAGCTGGAGGATCCAGGAGGATGCAGCTCCTGTTGTCTGGGAGGTAAGAGGTGGGGTGCAGGAGCTGGCAGGGGTGTTTTGCAGGCAGAGGGAGGGCAGGAGCAGGAGAATTGCAGCTGCAGCAGCTGGGTCAGTGCTGGATGGAGTCAGGCTGGGAAAGGGCCCTGAGTGTCAGGGCAGGGGAGAGCCCAGGGTGGCCCTGGGAGCCCTGGGGCTGTGAACAAGTGCAGTGGGCAAAGGAAGGGGCACTGGAGAGCTGGGCAAACAGCTGGAGGAGTTGCAAGGAGAACCAGGAGACTGGAATGCAGGAGCAGCAGCTCCTTGTGTGTGTGTGTGTAGAACCAGGTGTACTGCAGCCCCAAGTGAGGTGGGAAATGAACCTCAGGAGGCTGGGAACGAGTCCCACAAACTGGTTAAAATGGGATGGACTCTTCCCAATGTCTGAAAAGCTTTCCTTTAGTGTTGCTTTATCAGTTGAAAACTGGAGTGATTGTTGAGCTGTTGGCTCCTTGTTTTCCTGTGTCTTTGGTGAGGTGTTGGCTCAGTACCTTTCTTGGAGCTGCTCTTGGATGAAGAGGTGCCCCCAATTCACCTGTAAGGGCCTGGTTTTCTTCCCTGCTTTTGGGTCCCAAATAATAGTGGAGGGAGAGGCAGAAAATCCCACTGCTGCTGGGGCTGAACTGTCTGCAGTGAGGGGGCAGGACTTGGCCCTGATGCCTGAGTGCTCTCCAGCCCCCCAGGCTGGATCCCCACTG